ACCACTGAGTCCACTAAGTTCCTATTCTGCCTTTGGCTAGCCATAATATGAAAAAACCTGGTGTTCCGATCACCATTCTGAGCCCAATTTACTCTAGATTTTTGGAACCATATCCAATCCAACTTCTTTCTAAATGACCACACCAAGTTTTTGACCTCCCTTCTTCTAGCAACTTCATGGGAACCTAATGTCCCCATTTCTGCCAACAGATCAAGCTCATGCAACTCAACTTCAGCCTTTTTGAGTTGGTCCTCCACACAACCGAACACTTCAGAATTCCACCTTTTCAACTCAGCTTTGAGACTACACAATTTCGCCTTAGCTCTGTACCCAGCCCACCCTTGAACCTGCGAATCCAACCAGGACTTTTGCACAACAGACAAGAAGCTAGGATGCAGGGTCCATGCATTCAGGAACCTAAACGGCTTAGGGCCCCAGTTTTTCTCTTCTTCCGTAAGCAATAGAGGACAGTGGTCGGACACCAATCTAGGAAGGCCCCATAACTTCAAACTAAAGTTTTCTACCCATAGTGGGTCCAACAAAAACCTATCAATTCTACTCCACCTATCCCCGTCCACAGAATTACACCATGTAAACTTCCTACCCAACATTGGTAAATCCATCAACTCCAGTAGATCAACAAAATTATTAAAATCCTGCATCCCTTTGGAACTTCTAGTGCATCCTCTTCTTTCATCTGGAACTCTTATCTCATTATAATCACCTCCCACGCACCAAGGCTTTTGGAAAGAGGATCTTACATTGAGGATAGCATCCCACAGCTTAGCTCTTTGAACCACTTCATTTGGTGCATAAATATTTAAGAAAACACACTCAAATGAATTAAACAGAGTACCTGAAAGGAGCAAAAAATTTCTGTTACTGCAACACTCTGATAAGGAGAATACTTCAGGGTTCCAAATACTCAAGAGTCCTCCAGCACTCCCATCCGAATCTGCAGCCATAAACTCCAGCCACTTCTATCCACAAACCACAAGGAGGTTACTTGATTATTTCTAAATGATTGGTGGTAATCCACACGTGGGCCAAACCATGAGGGGGTAAAGTGAAATTTGCTCTAGAAATATATCATGACACTTGGTTTGAGCTCTTGTTCATTGTAGTGCCAACATGTAGATGTGATTAAAAATGTTCTTTCTCATGATTGTGTTGGTAATGTATGGAAACCTGAAACTACTTATATTCAGTATTCATATATTAACTTTGGGCCAACCTTCTTGTGGACCACTAAATTTTTGGGTTATCTGGTAAATCTTTTGCAAGCAAGATACAATATTACAGAATCTTGCCTATACACCTGCCACATATTGCGATTTGATGTTGTGGAAGGCCTTATTATGAGATCTGAAAATGCCAACCCAATGTGATGAAATGTTTTTATTGTTATAGGGTTAATAACGACCCATAAACCTCTGCCTTTGGGCACGTGCATGCATATTACTCATCTTGCATGATTATATTCTACTATATGTGACCAAGAATAATTGGTTGAATTGCGTTGCGTCTCCAACATGGAAAAACACTATTAAACTTGATCTTCCTTTTGAAAATTTGCACCAATAATATTGCTTTTATAAATTAACCACTTCAGTGCTCTTCAGCACTGTCAATGTTTTGTGCCAGTCTGATATTTTCTGTTCACATATCATATTTTTGATGGTTCACTGTTGCTACCATTCTTTCTAATGCTCCTGTTTGCTTTTTAGACTCGACAACTTATTGATCCAAACATCTACTGGTTTGCAATTCCAAACATCGGTTCGGTACTCAAGGGCCTCTCTCAGGTAAATACTTGCTTGTGGATTTTTTATGCCTTACAAGGACCTATACACCGATGCCTCTGTCCTGTACAGATAGAAAGAGATTAATATGATTACCTTGTGCAAAGCAAATTGGCAGGAAACTCTTGCTACTAAATATTTTGATGTAAATGGTGAACATTATTTTTTTGGATCTGATACATAGTTCAAAGTAAATTGCGCTCAAATAGTCATACATCATCAGGTTGAGAAATGGCCAGTTATCTTCTTCCCACAAGAAATGGCTAGTTATTTTTCGTTAACCGAAGTTTATGCCTTTTTTGAGTGGTAATGGTCATTTTATTTGGGGACTATTATCTTTTTTTCTGTAAGTTGGGGGCTGGATTTCTGTTTTCAACTGCTTAATCTTTGTGGTGTTGTCAAATATTGGATTTAAACAATAAGCCAAGATGCTTCGACTTGAATGTAACGGAGTTTCCAATAGCTTAAATACTATTTGTTGACGGTCAATTTTACCCTTGTTTGGGCATTTCAATGTGTCAAGGAGAAAAGCTTTTTAAAAGCATGGCAATGGGCATTGCTTTCTTGAGAATTTCGAAATGTCATCGGAATAATATTGCCCCATGTAATGATAGACTGTTTTTGTTGAAAATTAAAGAAAAAAATTATTAGGAAAGAAAAATGAAAAATAGAGAAGTTTTCCTAAGTAGTTCATGCTGGCCTGTCTGAATGTAGAATATGTTCTGTTTGATTTATTTTAACAAAAAAGGTAACAAGAAAAAATGGAAAATAAAAGGAGTTTCCGAAGCTCACTAGTTGCCGCCCCCTACTTGCTCATTTGCAAAATTACTATCAAAAACTAGAATTAAGAAATGTTTTTGAGAGTTATGGAACATTTTCAAATTTGAATCTTGTTTCCCAAAAACATTTGTAAAACATTTACATTTAACTTATTATTTTAGGGACGAAAGGAACTCTTGTCTTTTCTCAACCGTAGGAAATACAAAGAGATGATGTTGGCTCTTTTGGAGAAGAAACGCCTCCGACTGTCTCCACTGGATATGAGATTCCATCTTCGTGATCTGATTGGTTCAGGTCACCTCAAAACTCTCCAGACACCAAGTGGCGTAGTTGTTCGGGTTGTAAAGGATTAAACCCAGATTGGACGCTATCACCAGTTGATCTCACCAAGTATATTACTATTCTTTATTACTTGTCAAATGGACAAAGATGTTTAGGTCTGTTGCTTTGGAATGTAATTTTTAGCATATACATAATATAATTCCTTTTTCAGGTCACAAGACTGAAGTTGACATTGTGACATTGTACGCATTGGAATGAATCAGTGCAAGATGATGTGAGTTCTCTACCACAAAATTTTGATTTATTTATTCATTTGTTAACTTGTTAGATGATTTATGTTATGATCTTTCCTTGATCAATTGAAATTCTGTCATCAGAATTTATAAATTTATCTGTAGATTAATGAACCTGTATATTTTTCATCCTTTCTGGTTGATCACTCTTCTACTTCAGTAGCTGTATGTGAACTTCAAACTTCAGGTTGAAGTTGGTATACTAAATCCTAGAGCAGTCTGGTCTGGACTAATAAAAGCCGGAAGGGTTTTAATGTATGTCAATTTTTTTTTTAGGTCAGCCGAAATTGAAAGACAAATTTAAAAGAAAAAGAAAAAAGCGTAAGGGGAAAAATTATGTTGCAAATATTATAGAGGAAATAGTTTAACTATTTTTGAGTCTGTTGATTCTATAATGACTGTTGGAAACAAGATCCTTCTCTAGATCCCTTGATTAACGAAGAATATTGGAATAAAAGCTTAGCAATAGTTGATTTGAAACGAATGCCCAAGACTGGAAGAAGAGTATAAACTCGAAATTTTATTAATTCTAAAAAACTAATCAACCCTAAGACTTACTATAATTAGTTATAATGAAAAGCAGACCTAACGATAATGGGAAACAACCGAAATTTGTAGTCTTAACTAGCTAGACAGAAATAAAGATATCCAACGAAAATTACAAAAAATGTGAATATTGAATCAGAATTAAGAAACTACTAATTTAGGCTACCACAATGAAGAAGATTTGACAGAATCGAATTCTAACTTCTATACTAAGAGTAATTGAAGTTGCAAAACTTTCCAAAAAAGGCAAAATCTCGAAGTTGACTATTTGAAACGGTGCACGCCTGAAATCTGGCAGAATGGCATTTCCCATCAACTCACCAAATTTAACGCGATTCTGAGCGTGTGCCATTGATTGTTACTAGTGCCTTTTGCCTTGTGTTTGTTCATTTGGTCAAAAAATTGTATGGCAAAGCACACTGCATCAAAAAAGCACCTCTGCTTGTTTGGACTTAATTCCTTCTATATCCTCGACGACTGGCTTCATCACAAGTCTAAAGTACTGACCAAAACTGGGAACTGCTATGGGAGCAAAATGGAGACAACACACAATTGTGAGAAGTTAGCAAAATGAAATATACTTTTATTCAAAGGAAAAGGTAGCCTGAATCTAGAAATGAGAATTGGTACATTGGGAGATGTTACATAGGCAGTACGAAGGGATGGTGACAATTAGACTTACAAGGTGTCTATATATACCTGAAATTATGTTGGGCGAACACCTCCACCTTAACACGCAATAACACCCAGTGGGGTAGGTGACAGTTTGTGAAAATCAGTAGTAATTTTGTTTAATAACATTGCATTCCCTTCTCTCTCTGTGTCTCAAACTATTGTGGCACATTAATTATTTGAATGCAAATGATCATTGTCCTTGAGCTTGATCATAGGCAATAATACTGAAATCTCATATCAGAAAAGGCAAATTTCTCAGTTGAAGTACCGACATTTTCCATTCAGAATTTAGAAAGCTCCTCCATACTTGATGGCACTACTCACATGACTCCTCTCTTCCACGCCTACTGCCCCTCTCTTTCAGGCTTCAATTTCCCCATTTGGGCTTCTCTTTCTTTGCTGGATGATACTGTGTTGCATGACACAAACAGTTTGGGTATTTTTCTGGTCTCACAAACTTGCTACTTCCTAGTCATATGTATTAGTGATTCAAATTCTTCTCAGGATTTTATATGCATCTTACACAATGAAGCATTGATACTTCAAAAAGGGTGACATATCCACATCGGATACTAATACTCCTTGGATACTTATGGATACGTATCGGATGCTTATTAATTAATTTTTTTATTAATTTTGGAGTATCGGATACTTAATTTTGAAGTATCGGATACTCCACGTCACGTATTACTTTTTTTACGAAATTAGAATTGTAGCATATCTCAAATAACATTGTAATATAATATAATTGTAAGGATAAATACGAGAATATTTTTTCTAGTACTTTTTTTAGTTCTTTGATAAGAAGAACATATTGAGTTAAAGTAATAGAATTCGTTAAATTGATGTATCTTTATTGTTCATGCATGTCCCTTATAATTACATTGAAATTAAGGATTAACAAGAGAATATAACAATTGTACAATTAAATATCAATAAATAAATAAGTAAACTTGAATACAATATTTTTATTAGTGTCAAAGGAAAAACACAAGGACAAGGTATGGATGGTTCTATTAATAAAATATAAATATTATTAAATTTGATATTGAAATGAAATATGTACAAAATCTATTGAAAATTTTAAAAGTAAACAATTAATATTTAATTTTTTAAGGTTAGTATTTTGCACTATAAAATTATAGTGTGGTTTCTCAACATTTATCTTATGTGTAACTCACTATTAATAATTTTTTTTAAAAAAATTATTTTTTACAAATGTATCCTAACTATACTATTTTATTTTTTAGATTTTGTTGCATCGTCGTATCCGTATCATATCCATATCTCATATTTGTATTCATGCTTCCTAGATCTTGCATGTGGATTTTTGTGAAGTATCTGCTGAAACTCGATTGTTACTAATCATCCAAAGTAGTGTATCTGTACAATTCATAATGTGACGTTTCTAAAAATGTAAAAGTTGCCTTAGGTGGTGATAGTGGTAACTGAATCGAACCTCAGTTTCTCACTGTATAGGAGCTGATGTGATGTAGTCTTTTTCATCTGCTTCATGTTGCATCTGTATTTTAACAATCCGGGCTGGTTTACAAAGCTAGCAATTGGAATCTGGACCCATCAATAAACTGATTTTTCTGCCACCCTTCCCCGCCTACACACCCACAAACGTTTTCCACATTGAATTCTCTTATTCGTATCTCCATTGTCTCCACCGTTTGCTATCGTGGTATCACTTGTATCTCTCTCATCACTACCATCATCCTAGATCTTCCATTGATAACAACTACCGTCACTGTATGCCTCCATCATCTCATATTTGATCGGCGACCTTAGATCTGTGCTTTCTTTTAGATTCAAGTGCTCTCTCTCACTTTTTGGTATGATGTTCATTTCAACATTGACTTAAAAGACAATTTTTACATAGTTTAATTCACTAAGTTTTTATTGTTTCGAACGTTGTAATTTTACTTTGTAGAGTGAGATTTTCAAAATTGATAGGTAAAAGTGTAAACTTGTGAGAGTGATTAATTTTGGGTCAGGATGAGGCTTGCCGGAGGATGAGGACTGGGTGGAGGAGGAAGAGAGCTCAGGGAGGTATGCCAGAAGGGGGAGGAGGGCTGGGGTGGTCACTAGAGGTGGAGGTGGGGTCCAAAAGGTTAGAATTAAGATTATGATATGTGCTCAAGGGAAAGGAAAGAGAATAATTTTTGTGTGTACTGGTTCAAAGAAATGGGGGGTTTAAAGAAATAATGTTGGGGCAGTAAAAATTTTTGACTAGTATTTTTACCCAACAAAAAAGAAAAACTTGAGATTGAAGGGCAACTTAGCAAAACCCCTTTATAATATTATCCACCAGGAAGGATGGAGGCAGGAAATCCTTTGATGGAATATTGAATAAAGTTATGTGGGAATATGCTTGTGACACCTTGCAAGGATGAGCAGTAGTAGTAGTAGTAGTAGTAGGATTAAAAAGGAGATCTTTGTGATCATCAATGGAAGTCATATCTTGTCCTTTTACATTTAAAATTAAATTAAACATACTAAACTCACTCTAAACTCTTATGATATTTTATTCTTATAGGAATAGTAGATTTTGAGGTTCCTTCTTCATGGTGGAAACAAATTTGAGATGTGTCACTCTCAATGAGGACGAATCCAAAGCTAGTGTTGTTGTCTGCCTCGTCATCTCACGTGTAATTCTATTAATCTCAGATCTTCCCATTGATTTGTTAATGAAAAATAAAAAAGTCAAAAAAATTATCATACAAGAAAGTATAATGCTATTTTTATCACTATTGCTATTATTGTAGAACTTTATACTTTATTCCATAATTAGATTTGCCAAATCAGTGATGTATACTTGTTGCATCCTATTATTATTATTTTATTTATTTATTTTTTGGTTGTGCATGACATGACAATGATTGTACAAGTGCTATACCCACATATTTAATTGAAGAGGAAATTCTATTTGTTCAACATGATCTCTTTGGTTGTGTTGTTGATTTATTCATTTTTTATTATGGTTTTAAAAAAAATAATAATGGAAGTTTGAAAACACCTAGTATTCTATCATTATTTTTTAAAAAATTTGAAAATAGATTTTTATTGTTTTTTGAAATTGGATTGTTTTTGGAGATATTACAGATAAATGGAAAGATAGAGAATTAATTTCACTTTTAATGGAATGGAAAGTCCCAAATTGCAAGAGTTATGGAAATATTTAAAATAAATAATAATGAGATGAAAAGTAGAAAAATAATTGTAATGGGATGAATTTATACCTTTTTTACCCTTTTCGCTCCTCTCTCCGTTTCCTTTCTCTTCCTTCCCTTTGCACCATTGTTCACGGCCACTTTGGTTGTTTTTTTTTGATCAGCAAAAAGAAACTTTATTAATGAAATGAACAAGTACAAGGTACAAGATAAAATACATCAATAAAGGAAAGAGACGTGCAAAAGCATCACAGTGAGCTAAATGATCCCAACTAGGTTGGCACCACAGAGCTCACCCTATCACCTGCTAGCACCCCAAAGTTGGTGAGAGACCAACGGAAAAAAGAAGAAAGAAGAACCAACCAACCACAGCTATCACCTAAGCACATCTGCCAAGCACTGTAGCAGATGGAGAACTACTACTAGCCCAACACCCCAAAGTTAGTCAAATAGCAGCAAAGCATCCAGAGTTAAAAATGTATAGCAGCAAAACAGAACTCCCATAGCAGCTGGGACAGAACACATAGCAGCAGATGGGAGAGGATGGAGAAGCCACCTTTCAGACCACAGCAACTCAGATCGCAGCCAGAAGAGGATAGAGCACAGAGATGAAGTTGCAGCCAGCCAGTGCAGATTCGCCCCGAAAATTGGTGAGGGACCAATCAAACAAGACCAACAGGAGAAATCAACCAACACAAGCACTACCACTTCAGACCATGACCATGTACCAGCCCAACATAGCAGCCTCTGCAGCCAACACCTTGCCTTGAAGCAGCCACAGCAGTGCATGTCCTCATATCAGCAGAGCTTGAACAATGTGACACTAGCAGCAGCCTTAGCT